AAAGTAGGAAGCTGCCACTGCTAGCTCATGGGAAGTTCAGGGAAGCATGATGTCTCCGGTAAAGTGTGGGAAAAGGAAGTTTACCAGTGATTCCAGATGACAAAATAGCGCAGTTAAAATCGGTTATACTTCTGACCGATTGTTCATGGAGTGATGCAAAGCAAAGAGTGGTGCAATGTCAGGTAGAACAGAATTAATATAAAGATGGAAGCAAGAAATGGAGGGCTCTGCAGAAGTGATAGCAAAAACATCAAAATTCTGTACAAGTCCCTTTCTCCCAGTGAAGTTAAAAAGACAACTGTGAAAATTATATCGTATTTACAACAAGATTACAGAACTTTTTCAATGCGAGGATTCATTTCATTCTGGTTAAGTCTGTTATAACAGATGGTGTTGTTGGTAAACATCAAAGCGTCAAAAATGTGTTAGAAAGAAGCTAAAATATTCGGAATTAGTTAGAACTTTGCTTTGGAAATTTAATTTCAAAACAGCCATTCTGTACCGTAAAATGCTCAGATAAACTGAAGTTTGCAGTTATGCAATTTGAATTTCGAATTTGGAAATTGTGGTAACATCTTAGAGAAAAAGGTAGAACAAGTGGCTTGTCATATGCACCTATGTTGTTTAAAGGTAGTGTTATACACTAATGCATTTTTTAAACAATCAGAATGTTTGAGTAAAATCAAAGAAAGGACGATGCAATTTCAAATGACAAATTGATTTGTCTGCAGGTGTCAAAACTTTCGTAAATTGAAATATGTTAAATTGTTACATGGCGTAACATCGTGACTTGGCTCAATTCCATTCTCAAATCACTCATTCTTTCTGCTGACAGCAGCTTAAAAATGATCATAAACCTTCCAATTTCCACATTAATAAATGTACAGTCCTAAATTTACAGTTATGATCGGATGTTAAGTGGGATTATACCCACAGGCAGACCGGATGTTGTATTCCAATTTTAAACGACTTCAAGAGCTACCCCAGTACTGACAACGCAGTCAGGGAGACAGGAATCTTGCAGGTTAAGAACTTTACTCCAAATTTTGGCGAAAGGACAACCATATATTTTGTTCTATTTGGAGACAACGTTTTGAAGAATGAAAGAACCCTGAACTTTCTCCGATAACTTTTGTATTCAAATGAAAGCATTGTTTAAAATCATTCTGGAATTGGGATTGAAAAAGTAATTGATAATAATTGCTGTTTCAAACAATTAACGGGAAATGCACGTGAAGTTCAAGAGACAAATAAGATTAAATCTATACTCACTGCAAAAATAATTGGAAACAATGTAGGCAGTCTTATGTCGTGTCAGAAGGAGAAATTTTTTTTCAGTAAGAAATGATTTGGTGCTGAGAGAACCTGTACAGCACTGCTGAGGTGAACACAAAACAAAGCCTCAACAATGTTGGTTTGGAATAAGTTCAAAAGAAGGCAAGGTCTAGCATTATCTAGGCAGTTACTTTTCATAAAATTTTATGCCCGTTTTAAGGTAGAACACACAAACAGAACTTAGTCGTACTTGAAATCATACAGTTTTGTAATTGAATTCACTTTTGCAATACATTGTGAATGACATTTTTGGCCTGTATAATTCCTTAGAGTTCCTGAATCGTTTTAAATTGTACTGAATTCGATGATCCTCTGAGAATATATAAAAAAAGAGGGAAAATGACACGACGTGGAATGGCAATAACTTACTTTAAATACAGTTAAATAGAAGAATGCATGGAAGAAATCAACGAACGAACAACTTTGATGATATCTTGGAGATGTGTATGGCCATATGCATGAAATGCAATAAAATGCAATAAGAATAACTGAATTGGATTATCTTGTCTCCACACAAAACACGAAGACCGAGCATGAAGTATGTGCATGCTTTCTCTTCCGTTCTGATCGGTTGATAAGGTAAACTGAAAGTCAGTAATGCGTAACATAAACGTGGCATTCTGATGCAAGAGTACAGAAGTGACTTACTAACTGAATGTGAAGATGCTGGCGTTGGGGTGGGGTGGACAACGTCAGAAATCACACGACACCAGGTTATGATCTACATAGTTTATTTGAAATCACAAGCTTTCTGAGCGCTAAGGGGCAGCGCTCCAAAAGATTGTGGTTTCAAAGAAACCTGTTGGAGTATAACCTGGTGTCGTGTGACTTCTGAACTAGCGAGCTGAAGTAAATAAAATGAGGGAATACGTGATGACAAAACACTGAATTATATGTTTTAGACATGTGCATCTACATGAGAGAATTGTTATCCGGCCCCAAAGAGCAAAAAAAAAAGTAGATTTAAGTGATTATGGTCTTATCACATAATCCATATAGAAACTGATCTTTACATCAACGTAGTATTGTTGAGAGATCATTATAACAAATATAAAGTCTGATGAATGTTCGGTTGGACAGTCAAATGCTAAGAGGAGAGGGTGGAAATACTTAATAAGAAAGATGCACAAACGAGTGCAGATGAAATGACGGCTCAGTTATTTTTATTAAATCCAAGTGTAATATGTCATTGTAAATCTATGTACCATAAAGAGTCAAGGGTGATCCAAGGTCCTCAGAAGATGTTGGGATAGGTTTAATTCAGAACCAGGAAAAGGTGTGGGAGTATTCCAGCAATTCTATCTGGAAAATGTAAAGTGGAAAACTGCTAGACCAGTTAGAGAATAAAGGAAGAAGAAACAGACTCCAACAATTGGGGAAGGGAGCAATAAATGGGCTGCTTGACATTCCGACTCATGAGCGCATGTCCAATGATGTGAGACATGAAAAAGTATCGGTTCTAGGAGACTTGGCTCTGAAAGAGGAGTCACATATATGTGTGTTGTGAAATTAGAAATCCTGATGTGCTCTAATTCTCTTCATCCAAGACCTAAAATGACCCACGTGTGGCATGAACATCCAGAAATGGCAGGGGTTGAGTGGGAGCACACAGAATGCATATCTTCAGGTGCAGACTAACTGCATCACAATTAATGTCAGGATAATTAAAGATGGATTCCATGTGATATTTATCGCATCTGGAAGCATGTCATTTGTTTCTAACCTTCTGAAGCAAATATGAAAGGTAGGCTTTTCTTTGTCCACGCTTTCAAAGGCACAGATGAAGAGTAAACGACTCGAGTCAGCATTCTTCATTTACACTATCTCTCAGTTTGGCTACACAATCCTTCCATTAGCCTTGTACCTCAAATAAATCTCCTATATGACAAAGACTTCATGGTCACAAATGATTTTTGTGGTTCAGATCAAGAAAATAAAATGCTTCGAAACCACACTTGGCATGAATTTGTGCACAATGTCAGCGAGATCCTTGGTTGAGAATGTTGGCTTACTAAGTACTGGCCTAACGGTAGATATCAACTGGTATGATACCATTGGTATGTTATCTACGATATGTAGTCAATGTATTAGGAAACCAAACTTACACTTTTAAACTCGATACATTAGTTAATAGTTATTTGTGACTTTCAAAAAGCATGTTTACTTTGCAAAGAGGGAAGTGTTGGAAATTAAGGTCCGTTCAAAACTGAGTTTTTCCATTATTTATCGTGTGCCATGAGATTCACTTTACTCGCTGTTACAGCGGAAAATAACTTTAAATATTGCTAGTACAGGAAGTCAAAGGATAAGGCACAAGAATGACAAGAGATATTGAGGGCAGGATGACCTATTTTAACTAGTACCAATGCCCGATTTGCCACTTTCAGTCTGTTGTTAGCAATGTATTATTTTGGGAAAATAATAAGTTACTGCTCATAAAAAGAATGAAAAACTAGTCTTCAGTGTGTGCAAGTAAGCGGCAATGGTCAACCTAGCATCACGAGAAGCAGTCCGCGTCATTGACTTAAAGTTTTCAGATTGGTGAGTGGTGCAGTTTAGATTTCCAGCTCGTAAAATGAAATATATTAAGAAGTGCAGCATGAAAGTGACTGCGAGATTGGGAAAGGTTACAGCAAAAGGAAGCATCACCTTCTTTCGAACAGGTCAAAGGTTTCAGAGATGAATAAGGAAAGTCCCATCACAGATTCATCAAAGACTGCAGAATACCCAGGATGAACTGCAAAGCACTCCAAACCATACTGGTTCTAAGGCATTTCATCTCCAATCTACAGAACAGTTTCCTAATATTTAAAATATCCTGGTCTATCAGGGGTTGTATATTTCTTTACCTCCCCGAAATTATGCGTCATAAACTCCTACCTCACGATTAAGACAATAAGCAATCCGAAAATTGCATACAAATGTCAGAGTGGATTCATAAGATATCTTCCCCACCAAATGCCATATGGGCATCACCATCGCAAATTTCATAATTTGGCGTTACAATGAAATTTAGTGAAGTCAGCATACTCCATATTAATATCATGCCTTTTTCTTGTCAAATTTCTCCTCAAAAATGTGATTTTACCTACAGATAAACAGTTCAACGAATTCATAATAGAGCAATGAAAATGTTTCCTTTATAGTCAAGTAATGTCGGGCCGCCAAATAAGTGAAATCAGGAGAAACGTATATTTAGAGCCGATACACCCTCATCAAGGAATCATTTTTCAACACTTCTCAGATTGTTGTTTCTGAAAGTGCTTAAATAATAAGGTTGACGGCCCTTAAATCATTACATCTGGATTAAAGTTATTTTATTTCTAAATTAAGCTATTATTAATTGTTAATGGTCAATGGCAAAAAATGATGTTCAGTAAAAAATGCTATTGGAAATATTAACCACTGCAAGAGGGGATTTTAGTTGCGCACTATTAAACATAAGGATCACTGGTATTGTCACTCCTTGAGAGCAGTTTTGCTTTAAGAAATGCCTGGTGCAATTATGGGTAAGGACTCTTTGTGTCGCTGTCTACCAATGGGAAAACCAAGAGATCTACCGAGCCTCCTCCTTCAATACGAAACACGGCGCAGAATCAAAGAGCAGGGCAAAGTCGCCCGCACCCAAACCATCTTGCGCTGAAAGGTCAGGTCGAGATTTCACGTTTATTGTTTTAATGTCGACACTTTTTCATCAGAAAATGTATTTCATTTCATTGTGAGCGAGATAAGAAGAGGTAGGACGGCATTTTGGCAGATTTGCAATTTGGTCTAATCCGGAACAATGGCGAAAAACCTCAGGCGGCTGGTCTATTTTGTGTTGCTGACTTGCGTCTCAGATTTAATTTGCGGTCGACTACAATACGTGATTCCCGAAGAAATGGAGCGTGGTACTTTTGTTGGGAATATCGCGGAAGATTTAGGCCTAAGCATTGGAGAGATGTCATTTCGCAAATTTCGGCTCGTCTCTGACGACGGAATACAATTACTGAAGGTGAACATGGAGAATGGTATTTTAGTTGTGAACAAGAGAATTGACAGGGAAATTCTCTGCGGACGAAGCGCGACCTGTTCTGTTTCTCAGGACATAGCGGTTGAAAATCCATTGGAAATGCACCGTGTCGACGTGGAAATATTGGATGTAAATGATAATTCGCCCACATTTCTCGAATTGAGATATACTTTACAAATATCTGAGTTAACCGCAGCAGGAGCTCTTTTTCCACTCGAGAGTGCGCACGATGCGGATGTGGGTACAAATGCAGTAAATAGTTATGAAATCAGCACAAACAAGCACTTTGGTTTGAAGACTCACAACAGAAGCGATGGGAGTAAAATTGCAGAGTTGGTGTTAGAAAACCCCTTAGACCGTGAGCAAGACTCAACTTTGCACCTGACGCTGACGGCCATTGACGGTGGAATTCCTCGAAAATCTGGTACTACAGAAATAGTCATCACTGTACTAGACGTAAACGATAATGCCCCAGTATTTGATCATCAGTTGTACAGGGTTAACGCATTAGAGAGCTTACCTAAAGGTAGCTTGATCATAACGTTAAATGCTGTTGATTTAGACCAGGGAACAAATGGCGAAGTAAAGTACTATTTAACCAGCCACGTTTCTCATAGGGTGAGGGAGTTGTTCAGTTTAGATTCCGAAACTGGACATATCAGAGTTCAAGGATCACTGGACTACGAAGAAGAGAAGATTTACCAACTTGAAGTAAAAGCTGTGGACAAAGGTACTCCCGCATTGGCTGGACGCGCAGAGGTTCTTGTTGAATTAATTGACGTTAATGATAACGCGCCGGAATTAAAAATAAACTCGCTATCCATTGAAGTAAGCGAAAATGCTGCAAGTGGGACTGTGATCGCTATAATAAGTGCAATGGATCGTGATTCCGGTGAAAATGGACAAGTGCAGTGTCGGTTGCCACCATATATCCCGTTTAAACTTCAAAAATCTTCGAACAAGCAATACAGTTTAGTGGTCAGCGATACATTGAATCGCGAAATCTCTCCTTTCTATAATATTTCCATTTCAGCCTGGGATGCAGGGTTACCCTCTCTTTCAACAAATAAAACTATCCACATTTCAATTTCTGATATCAATGACAATGCGCCACAATTTACACAGTCATTATATAATGTGTTCTTGATGGAAAACAATGCTGCTGGTGCATCAATATTTGCCGTTACCGCTTTAGATCTTGATTTGGGCAAGAATAGCAAGACATCGTATTTCCTATTGGACAGTTTCATATCTGAAAGTTCTGCGTCTGGTCACTTTAGTGTTAACTCCGAAAGTGGGCGCATTTACGCACTACGCTCTTTTGACTATGAAATTCAGAAAAAAATTAAGATCAAAGTTCAGGCTCGGGATGATGGAACTCCATCACTCACCAGCACTGCTCTCGTCAATATTATTATTCTGGACCAAAATGACAATGCCCCAGTCATTTTATCACCTTCAAACGACAACAGTTCGATTGTGATTGCGTCAAATTCGGCACTTCCCGGATCCTTGGTGACCAAAGTAATTGCTACTGACGCAGATTCTGGTCAGAATGCACGACTTTCGTATAAGCTCATAGAAGCTACTGATCACAGTATTTTTAGTGTCGGATATACCTCTGGGGAAATTAGGGTAACGCGAAATTTTAGGGAGCAAGATGCTCTCAGACAGAAGCTTGTAGTTTTGGTCAAGGACAATGGACAGCCGAGTCTCTCGAATACGGTCTCAATTCTCATTACAGTCCAAGGTAACGTTAGTGAAAATGCTTTTGAAGGAAAAAACAAACTTAGAAGTCCAGAATTATTTTCAGATTTAAATTTTCTGTTGATCATAATTTTAGGATCAACTTCCTGCATATTTCTAATCATAATATTTTTTTTGGCCGCTGTGAAATGCCAACAAGATAGGAATATTTGCTGTTGTACGTCCAGAATCTGCTGCTACCGACAGAATATTTCAACCGGAGCCTCTCGTTGTAGAAGAGTCGCAAAAGCAAATTTAAATTATCTAGATTCTGTTCAAACTCTGCCTATGCGGGACTCATATGATTACACGGTCTGTCGCTCACCCGAGTCCTCTAAGAGCGATTTTTTGTTTTTAAAACCATGTCACCAGACGTTGCCTGTGAATGATATTAATATTCGTGACACAGACAGATAATATAACGAATCAATGCGTAATACAATTAATTTTCAATCTATACACCTATGTGTACCCCCACAAAATGAAACCCGAGACCTATTTTTCTTTTTGGAATGCTTGCTCTTCCTTTCTGGTAGAGATGGACGCAAACTTTTGAGATGCAGTGTCTAAAATACGATTTTGTGATTGCTGTTAACATTAGAATAGATGCTGAGAGTTAGAGAGGGTTTTAGAGAGTTAATCTGTTCAGTTTAAATATAGAACCCTGTGATAACAAATGCATTGCTCAAGCGCAGCTCTTCGGTTGAACAGTTTGTTTATTGCCGTTTGACCACTGCTTGTCACGCAATGAATCATATCGCTTGAACAAGTCGTCGTCGGTTTAGAAATATTCCTGAATAATATAAACTATTCAAATAATTGAGATAATTAATGCGAGTTGTTACGTGAAATTCTGTTTAATTTTGTGAAAATTCGAGCAAGGAGCAGAAGTAGCTATTCAACACATCTTGCCTTTTGCCGGCATTCAATTTCGTCAGAGTTGATTTGATTATAAAATGAAATCTTTATTCCCTCCTAGGCATGAGAACAATTCACCACCTTACTTCACAAGAAACTCTCATTTCATTCTTTAAAAAGGAGTCAAGGATTCTTCTGCCACGATGTTTTCTGGAAGTTTATTATAAAGACTGAAAATGACGTTAAGAAACAAAACCAAACTAGTCTCTCTTTTAAACAGGAAAATTACTTATAAATAGTGATTGTTAGTTCTTGAAAATCGTAACCGATGAAACATCCTCCACACCTCTACCCTAGCAAGACTGTTTGGAATCTTATATTTTCAATCAAGTCGCCTCCTCTTCTTCCAACTCCAACATATACAAAATAGTGTTTTCAAACTTTCATTATAAGACACTGGTCATTCCTGGTATTAATCCAAGACATTTTTTCCACACTGCATCAATATATATGCATCCTTCTTGATATAACATGATCAATACTGTGCATGGCCTCCAGATCGATTATATTGTTGTCCGAAATAACAAGCATTACCTTACTACTTCTTGCATTCAATTCTCCTCACAACAACTGATAATCTGGAGTAAAGTATACAATCTTGGTACCCTAACTTGAGGAAGAATGTAACACCATGGAATGAAGTGTGGAGAAAATTTACTAGATTAGTTTCCGAGATGAATAGCTTGCCTTATGAGGAAAGATTAAAAGTACAATTAAGTCAGTCACTCCAAGTTTCCACATTGTCAAGCAAATACCAAGTTTGCAGCTTTACTGCATCGACTTGACTTGGGCCACAGCAAATTCTGGACTTCATATCTTCGGTACAATTCCAGAAATGTTGTCAGGCCCATATGTCTTTTAAATCCTTCAACCTAGTTTCACTGTACAATCATATAAACCGAAGAAAACACGAAGTTGAAATTCTTCTCAAATTTCAATCAGCACGTGCGGGTTAATTCTGCTTCACAATCCCCATGCCAATGTGTATTTATTATTTATTCATGAGATGTGGTTATGCAGCAATTATTACCAATCCCTAATCGACTATGGAGCAGTTATGAGTAAATCTGATTGCTGTGGGTCTGGAGTTGCATGTAGGCCAGACCAGGTAAAGATGACAGTTTACTTCCTGAAAAACTGTTGAGCGAAATAGATGCACTTTCCCCCCACAATGGTTTCAATGTCTTACTAAACTCTTCATTCTAGATTTTTAATTAATTTAAATTCCACCATCTGCCACGGCAGGTCAAACATGGATCCCCAGAACATTTCCTGAGTTTCTGCACTATTCATCTAATGAGTGGCCTTGAGTCAATCTCAAATTTTGTGACGATTAAAATATATGGATGTCAAAATATGATCAGCTGTGATTTTATTACATGGTGGAACAAGATTGAGAGAATCCAGTTGCAAATTTGTATGCTTGTTAATACGTTCATAAGTACTGCAATAAAACCTTATTGAGTGATAAAGTCTTAAGGGTGAGCACCAGGATGCCAAGTACAACAACTAACGTAGCAATAGCTTGAATTTGCATGAAATTCTGAACCACGTAAAGTATTTCAAATCTCTTCATGGAGACTTTAAACTAAAACAACAAAAGTAATTAACGCCACCATCAAGCCCCAGTAGGAGACTGTACTTTAGGCATATCTAAGCTTTCTGAAAATAATTGTTTTAATATGTGTGATAAAGGGGAAAGCAAGTCACAGAAGCTGAGAGTTTTGGGGAGAGCATTCCAGAGGTTAGATCCAAGACAAGAAAAAACCTGGGCTTCAATTTTGGAAATACTAAAAATGGGGATTTTCAAGTGACTGGATTGATACGAAGAGTTAAAAGACTGGAGGAGATTAATGAGGCAGGGAGAAGCCAATCCATTCAGGTAATCGAGAACAAATTGAGAACTTGTACATTAAAAAGTCAGATGATAAATGTCAGATTAGTCCAGCAGAGATGGGTGTTATTGGTGAAAAGGAATTTGTATGATTTAGGACATAGGCATGTCAGATCTGCAGGACCTTATGTTTATAATGTGTATGATGCGGAATATTAGCTGGGGAACTTCCGAATGGTCAAGTCTAGAAATATGAAATGCATTGAGGAGTATCTCAGAAGCAGAGGTGTGGATACTTACAAGCTTATGGATGTGCTAACAGCTAGCATTAGAAGTGTCTTCAATGTGTGATTGAAAGTTCTTTTAATGGTCAACTATATCACGATGTGTTAAACTGTCTGAACAGTTATGGCAGGATTGAAAGTCAACGACTTCTGCCTTCCAATATAAAATTAAAGAAAGTTTCAGGGGATCCAAAACTGGACGTTCAATAAGTAGTCTGACAATTTAAAGACTGAAGAAGCATCGTGGCCAATGATGAAAGTGGAAAATGGTTGTCGAGTGTGGTCTGTAGACATAAACAGAATTATGCCAAGGCGGGTAGTTGGGGATAATAAAGCAAACCAAGTGGGAAAAGCTAAGTCAGTAATTTGTGACTAAGATTGGACGATGAGAAGTGAACCAGATAAGTGCAGATTCAAAATACTGTAGAACCTTAGAAGGACAATGGAAGAGCAATATTTGATCCATTCAGCGATAATATGCATACTAGTGAAGGTGAAATGAACAGAAAATTGACACTTACCAATGCCATATTGGAAATGATCTTACATTTGACAAGAAAACCTTTGATCTTGTGACAGGCATGGAAATTTACTTTTACAATCATGCGTTCAAATAAAACTCGACATGTATTCCGGAGGACTCGACACTTTGATGCATTTGCAGGAATTAAAATTGTTTGCAGATGATAGGAGGGATGGGGACTTGAATATGGTGGCATTGATTAGCAAAGACGGCTTTGCCAATGTTGTTTGTTTGCGGATCTCTTGATAATGTCAACTTTGAAGGATACAGAGTCAAAATCATTGCGATTAAATGTCATAAATATTATGGCACTATTGATCATGTAGGACAAGTTTGGTAGGAAGTGAAAACATATCCTAATGAAATTCCTGAGAACACAATGCAATGAATTTTGTTACAACTTTTAAATACATTATGTCCCGTTGGTATAATTAAAGAATATAGGGACATGGCAGCATTTTAACGTAGGACGAAAGAGCAGCAGCAGGTGATTTGGCCTTTCAGCTGCTCTTCCATTGATTAATTCCATCACTCATGCGATCGTAATCTCAAATTTATTTTGCTGTTTCGTGTAATAATCTTTGCCTCCTATGTAAATGAGAAATCTAACGAGCTCAAGCTTGAAGAAATTCAATGACTCAACATCCGTTGTTTTCTGTGGGTGATAGTTCCAGACATTAATGACCTTCTGAGAGAAAATAAATCGCTTCATCAATTTTAAAAGCAGACAACTTATCCTTCATCTGTGTTACGTAGATGTAGCATTTCCTGCGAGGGAAAGCACTCTGTCACGGTCTACCCTGTCTAGTCCCAAGTACAGATTACATCTTTCATTTTTTTGTAATCATTATTTTATGTGATTATATCTTATACTCCTAAACTGTTGTGGCTGAAGTCCCAATGTATTCAATCTGTCTTCATAATGACTATGAGTTGGGCAAATGTTCTCTGAACAGTTTCTAACGCACGTATACCCTTTTTGAAATAAGGACACAGAAATTGTATGCAATTGTTCAGATGTTGCCTCACCAGTTCACATGTACATATATCATACTTCTAAAGAGCAAGAGCCACCGTCGATTTGAGCCTACTCCATCATTCAATAAGACCAACAGGAGCTGATTGCCTCCATTTCCTCCAGTTCCCATTAATCTTGCAACCTCTTGCTTATAAATAATTGCTCTACTTCTGCCTTAAAATGCTCAAAGACTCTGCTTCTGTCACGTTTTGAGGAATAGAATGCTAAAAATCCACAAGCTTCTATGAGAAAAGAAAAGATTTGACTTAAATGGGCGACTATTTAATTTTGAACTATTTGCCATAATCTAGTTTATCCCATAAGAAGAAACATCCCGTCTATATGTGCCCTTTTCAGAGGCATCATCAACTTTTGCTTCAATCAAGTCACCTGTTACTTAATGAAACTCCAATGCTTACAAACCTAAACCGTCAAATGTTCCCTATGAAACAGCGATTCTGTCCCACGTGTTAATCCAGTAAATATCTTTGAAATGCTTCCAAGAAACTTGAATCCTTCTATAAAATAAAGAAGATGCTTTACACAGTAATCCAGATGTGTCCCTTTAACTTATCTGCTTTTGTATTGAATCCCTTACAATAAATGATGGCACCATATTAGCCTTCATCATTACTTGCTATACCTGCACTTTAAAATTTTGAGAAGAACACTCTACTCCTGACACCTCTGCAGTGTCTCAATATTTAGATGAAACACTTCTTTTATTCATTTTAACTGTTGAAATATAAGATGTCACATATTCCCGCCGAAGCACCATTTGACAAATATTTGTATACTTACCTAACCTATGCCTATTTCTTTGTACCTTTATGTGGGCTC